GTTGCCTGTAATTCCTGTTTTTTACCTCTTTTTTACACCATCTGGGACAGAGGGATACAGAGATCGATGGGCGTTTTTACTTCTTACTTCTTGTAAGTGGATTTAATTAAAGTGTGTCATTTTACATTTTGAAGAATTGCTGTACTATGTCCATTTTTCTTCTTTTGGCATGCACCCTTGGATATTGAGAATGTCTTCAGCAGAAAATTTAAATAGATACTGATGGGCTTGAAAAATTTGCATATCCTGTGAGTGCATTATTACCACTAGGGGCCCATTTTGTCGTATGGTGTTGCCCTATGAATGTTTCTTCATCTCTGTTTTTATTTTAGGTGTATCTTGTATTTCAAATGTGGATAGGGAAATCACTTAAAATAACATAAAATACCTAAAAATTACAAATAGAGCTGAGCCATAAAACAGCACTAGATGGAATCTTTGATTTTAGCTTTGGAAGAACATAAATCAAAATCTAAAGCATGGCTGTCAGAAGGATCACCAGAATTATCAATTTGAGAGAGGGTTGGAGTGCAGGGTATTCTCTTTCATTGTTCAAACTGAGCTCAACTCCTGATGCATGGAGAAAAGGCCTTCTGCAAAGGAAACAAATAAAGTCAAAATCCACATTGAACCCAAATGGTTGAAGGGTTTTCAGTTTGTGGATCCAGAATCCCTCCCTTTGTCTAAGTTTCATAACAATATCTCCTGCCCTTGCACCAAGTGACACTTGTTCAATCACAACCCATGAAAAATTATGAATATTGAAATGTGAACACCGGTTACAATGAACCGGGACGGAGTGGTTTTCTATCCCTTTCTTAATGTTATTCTTGTGCTCTAAGAAATGAGTTTTTGCTTTTCTCACCGTCCTCCCAAAATATTGTGCACTGCATCCACATGAGAGGAGGTACACAACATGTGTGGAAGAACAAGTGACTCGTCCCTGAATTTGGAACGTCTCTTTAGTAGTGAAACTGGAAAAGGAATATGTGTGGGACGACTGCCCCCTACATGCTTTGCATATTCCACAGATGTGGAATTCCACAGATGTGGCCTCTGCTATTGTGTACATAGTTTATACTAAGTGACCCATAGGTTGAGGAGGCGGTGACCATGGTGGTGTAGGTGGAAGCGGCCGTGGAGGAGGAGGTAGCCAACACTGTTTTATATATATATATGTATATATATATATATATATATATATATATATATATATATTTATTTATTTATTTTATTTTTTTTATTGGGGTAGCCCCCAAAATATTGGGACATATAAAAAAAGAAACATTTGGGGCCTGCGGTGCATTTCTTGCAGTCCTGATGCATGGAGAAATGCTCAACTCCTGATGCATGGAGAAAAGGCCTATTGTGTACATAGTTTATTCTAAGTGATCCATAGGTTGAGGAGGCGGTGACTGTGGCGGTGTAGGTGGAAGCGGTGGTGGAGGAGGAGGAAGTAGCCAACACAGTTTTTTTAATTGGGGTAGCCCCCGACATATTGGGACATATAAACAAAGAAACATTTGCGGCCTGCGGTGCATTTCTTGCAGTCCAATAATCGTTTTTTTAAATCAGGTTTTTAAAATTGTCCGTCTCCACCACACGGAATAACAGCATTTCAAAGGCCACGAATTTTGAAATGCTGGCATCAGGGCCAGGGCTCGCGGGTGGCTAGGGGGGTACTTCCGCTTTCTCTCCAGTGTTTGGGAGATGGACAGCTGAACGCTTCCATGGGACAGTGTGGAGATGTTGGACAATTGTGTACCTGGCTTATGTTGATGCAGGAATCCACCCTCCAAGCCACTTGTGAATGACTAGCCTGATAACCATGGAAATTACCCCTCTTCCTTCTGTGCTGCAGCTGAAACTCCACTATTGCCTGCTGCTGCTCGCACAGTCTCTCCAGCATGTGCAAGGTGGAGTTCCACCTTGTAGGCACATCACATATGAGGCGGTGAGAGGGAAGGCCAAAGTTATGCTAACTATCGGTTACCCAGGTCCTGCTTCAATTGGTGGCAAGCGGCGGGAACCTATGTCCCTGCCAACAGACCCATGGACTACAGTGCTGTAAAGCGACCTACACTGCAGGACTTTTGTGGAGCCAGAGGAATAACGCCTGGTGGGTGTAACAAGGCCGAATTGACTGCTGAGCTCATGGAGGACGACCAGGCATGCAGTGAGGCAACGAAACCCAGCAAGGGGCAGGAGACAGGGCCACCACCAGAAATTTTGGGGCCCCTAACAAAGCACAAGGTCTGAGCCCCCCACGTCCTCCCCCCCCCGCCCAGCCACCCTACCCCCCACAATGAATGCAGAGTGTGTTAGTGTAATGAATGCAGTGTGTGTGTCAATGTAATGAATGCAGAGTGTGTGTCAGTGCAATGAATACAGTGTGTGTGTCAGTGCAATGAATACAATGTGTGTGTCAGTGCAATGAATGCAGTGTGTGTGTCAGTGCAATGAATGCAGACTGTGTCAGTGTAATGAATGCAGACTGTGTGTTAGTGTAATGAATGCAGTGTGTGTGTTAGTGCAATGAATGCAGAGTGTGTGTTAGTGCAGTGAATGCAGTGTGTGTGTTAGTGTAATGAATGCAGAGTGTGTGTTAGTGTAGTGAATGCAGGGGGTGTGTCAGTGCAGTGAATGCAGTGTATGTGTTAGTGTAGAGAATGCAGGGTGTGTGTCAGTGCAGTGAATGCAGAGTGTGTGTTAGCATAGTGAATGCAGTGTGTTTGTGTAGTGCATGCAGAGTGTGCGTTAGTATAGTGAATGCAGTGTGTGTGTTAGTGTAGTGAATGCAGAGTGTGTGTTAGTGTAGTGAATGCAGTGTGTTAGTGTAGTAAATGCAGAGTGTGTTAGTGTAGTGAATGTAGTGTGTGTTAGTGTAGTGAATGCAGAGTGTGTGTTTGTGTAGTGAATGCAGTGTGTTTGTTTACTAGTGCATGCATGTAATGTAGTAATGTAAATGTAATCTGTTATTCTCCCCTCCTTGTTTCTTAACTGGTTCAGGGAGGGGGGAAGATTCCATAATCCCTGGCGGTCCGGTGCCATGGTGGGGCCCCCCGGCTCCCTGTACTTACAGAGGGGGCCCAGCGGACTGCATGAGTACTTTACAGCATTACCCTCACCCTAACTCCCGCGAGATGTTGTGTGCGCGCCGCACAGAGCATTGCCATGGTAACCCATGG